TTCTTTTTTATGTGCATGTGCCTTCTTCTCAATCTTTCCCTGGTCTACCCCTATGGCACTTTTTGATACTCTTTTCTGTGCTCTCCTTCCAAACTTACTTTTTCTACTTCTGCCAGTGCAAGTCATGCCAAGCGGTCAGCATGCTGTGAATTGTCAGGACTCTTCCTACTGTCAAACAGCAATCTCTCCACTTCCCTTGCCAGCTCACAGATGGCAGGCAGGCAAAGCAGGAAGTGAAGGAAGGAACGCAGGTGTTTTTGGGGTGCCAATTCTCCTGGCATGAGAAAGATTCACTTATCCTCACAAGAGAGAAGAGGAGGAAGTGAGTTGTTACTATCAGTTAGTGTAAGAAGAGATAGGACAGCCATTTGTCCGGAATAGTATAGGGTCTCCTCCTTGGGCAAGGGGGTTGGACTAGAAGGCCTCCAAGGTCCCCTCCAACTCTGTTATTCTGTATTCAGTTCTCCAAACTTTGTGGGATCACGAAATCACAGCAAAGAAACTGTTCTCCCTCACAACTTTCCACTTAATCCCGTTGCCCTGCCTCCTGGTGCCAAAGACATGCTCCCACCACGGATAGTCTGCTTTACCACAGAGATATCCCCCGCAGAATCACTTCCTCTTACGTCTGCCCTGCTGCATAGCTTAGATGCCATAGTCTCAAAAGTGTGGGGAGTTGTGTTTTAACCAAATGTCCAGTGGCCTTTTGGAAGTTTGTTAGACAGACCTTGCTTCGATGTCCCAGTGCTCTACCATGACACTGGTTAAAATGATCCTTTTGTAGCTTCAACACTGCAGGGCCAAGCTCTCCAGAGGGGTTCCTGACTGTAGCTCATGGATGTTCTGTTCTACGATCCAGCAGCATCTCTCTGCTATTTTGCTACTACAGTGGTGAGTGGAAACGGAGGGACACATTTAAAACATGCGTGCAGTGATACCTTCGAAGGCAAAGGGGAAAGCAGAGCTGTTATCCCAAGCACTGGGAATAGCTGCTTTGTCCCCTGCCAAGATAGGGATAATAGGAGAAAATCCACTTCTTGCCCTTCTTACCCCCACGAGAGCTCCCACCCGTGACATTTTACGGAAGTCAGAAACAGGGACAGGCCTCTCTTCTCCAACACAGCTTTTCTCACCATGAGTGAAAGGAGAAGTGGGGGGAAATAATTGCAGGAAATAATGGGTTATTTGGTGTCAATCCCACCCCTGGGATCAGAGAACAGACATCAGGAGACACCACAGGTCTTCTACAACCATTAACTGGCATTAATGGACATTGAGGTAATCCTCATTTAGCAACTGCAATGGGGGCCGGCAACTCGGTCGTCAAGTAATACATCACAGTGCTCAAGTGAAACATCACATCACCATTTTACCTCAGTTTTCTTTTGTTTTACAGACCTATGAAGGGCCTAAGTGTGAGGAAGGTCGTAAAGTTACTTCATCACCATTGTAACTGCAAATGGTCACTAAGCAAGGCAGCTGTTAAACGAGTACTAGCTACCTTCCACATCTCACACCTCGTATCTCTCATGTGGACATAACCCTTTATTTCCCCTTCATTGCTGAGGCAGAACTGGGTCCAAATGTGGTCAGCACTTCTTATAACCAACATATTTTTGTGTTGGCTCCCATCCTAGATAACGGCACTTTAGTGCCGCTATGCTAAACGGCATTTGGAATGCTGTTCTGGAATCGCAGAATCTCCTCTTTCAGCTTTTAAAGATTTGCTGGCAAATCCATCCGGGTGGGATGATTTTTTGGACTCGTACGAAAGTGGGGTTAAAAACGTAAAGGAAATGAAGCTTGGGGGGAACCAAAGCTGGAATCGTCTTCCCAATAAAGCTAAGAATGGCTTTCCTTTTGTATTTAATTTTGCATGAATCCACACAGCTTTTCAAGGTTTGGAGCGAGAATGGGGATTCTCCTGCTTTCCCCCTCAGGATACATCCGCATAAAGGACCGGGTGGAGAGGGATGGGAGAAGGCAAGCAAGTTCTCTAGTGAGTCCTGGAAGGTTTCCATGAGCCATATGGTGGAGCCATGTTGCAACCCAAAGCCAACACTAACTGCTTTTTTTCCCCCTGTAACCTTCACTACATTTGCTAATGTTTTGTGACATAAAACCTAGAGATTAATTTTTTTCTTCTGTCTTAATTGAAGGAACCATTTAGTACAGATTTAACTATTATTACCAAATCATCAGGATTGATGCAGCGCACACACGCGTGCTCCAATCATGTTTGGACTAGCTTGGAGGATTTATGCAAATGGGCCTGCCGGGAGAGGCAATTTGTAGCAGAGAAGGACAATTATACAGGGCCCGTGAGTGCGGGAATGACTGTGCCGGGCGGCTAATGGATAATCATAAAGCGCCAGCAGCAATGAACACCACTGCAGCGTGACCAATGACTTTATACAGCACAGATAAAGAGGCTTTTATGCAACACTGCCTTCCTTTTCAAAGAGGGGCAATTCTTCCCCCAGAGCAGTGCAGGAGGCAAGATAGAGAGGAGGCAGGGGAGCACAGAGGAACAGGCATCTTTTTAGCCCCCTGATTCTTTCAGGTTTCGATGACCACTAGGATGGGCAAAGCCTCGGGTGTGCTGAGTGCTAAAGTGTGGTTGCCTCTAGTGTGAAAGCAACAGGAATAGCCAAAAAACAACGAACGCTTTGATCACAACATATTCACTGAACATCACCACCGCTTTTTCTCATGCCTCTTCCCAGTATGGTCTGTAATTATTACGCTACAAACAGAGAGATCTGGGAGGAAGAGTCCGCTTTTTATAGTGTACAAATACAAGAAAGCAGTATAAAGGAACACTGACACTACATAGCTGTTTGATGTTTAAAAAAAGAGAAAGAAAGAGAGAAGGAAGGAAGGAAGGAAGGAGAGGGAGAGAAAGAAAGAAAGAAAGAAAGAAAGAAAGAAAGAAAGAAAGAAAGAAAGAAAGAAAGAAAGAAAGAAA